CGATTGTGCTGAAACATTGTTAAAAGCCAGTTGGTGAATCTTAGCTGTTCAGAACTGCACTGTCTCAAAGTCAAGAAGAAAATGATTTGCCTTATTTGGTTGACATCTTTATAAGGGAGAGTTTAGAATTAGCTCTACAGTAATCTCCTCCCCGCTACCTCCACCCCTGGTGATTTCTTAAAGCTACTTACCAATAGGTATTGTGCGGCCCTGGATCTTGTCAGCCCACCCTGCACAGTAGCGTAAGGTCTTTATGCAGCCCCCTAAATCCATCAGGTATGCATTGGAAAATAGTTTTCCACCATTCATTGACTCCATTGTCTAAAAAAGACATTAAACCTCAAATTTAAACTTCTGTAAATGTTTAGATTAAAAATGTATAGTTCATACTTTGACTAGTCATATGCTAGAGAATTTTGAAACTAGAACTTTTGTAAGTCATCTTGTTTAACCTCTTTTTAAAAAGGAGACTAAAAAACCCCAAAAAAGTTGAAATGATTTGTTGATTTACCTAAGGTTACATAGCAAGCTCCAGGTAGAAAAGTTAGTAAGATTCTGGTTTCTTTTTTTTTTTTTTTAAGATTCTGGTTTCTAAACCCTAGTGCTCCTTCTATCTCATTCTGAATGTCCTCCAGCTAACCAGCTTTCTAGGAATTGGCCACAATTTGATATATGCACAGCTAGTGAGAGTGACACCTAGTCAGTTCAGAGTTCCAACAAGATTTTGCTTGTATAATAAAACTCTGGGTGACAATTTAGTGTCAGTGACTATTAATAATGCCTGAATAATCATTTTTAATTTTTGCATTCTATCTCCATATAACCAATCACTTCACACAAACTTAAGTGACCCATGAATCTTTCATCCATGAGTTTCTTCAGTGGGATTTTTAATTGTGAAACTCCAAATTTTGCTACTATTATCATAATTATTGTTTGAAAAGTCAGGCTGTAAAATTTGACATTTTCTAATCTAGTGCCCTAACCATTATTGGATGACTTCTCTTTTCATTTCTTTAGCAGAACTTTAATGAGCTCTTGGGACCTAATTGTCCGGTAGGGCAGGAATGTACAAGTGACAAACTATTAGAGCCGTTCTGCATCTGTTATACAATTTCTGTCTCTGCGTGATACTTTGCACCATCTCAAAATTTAATCAAACATGATTTTTCTATGCCCGCTCTTTTTTCTTCCTTAGGATCTTATGCTGACAGAGACAGTCAACACTCTATAATCCACAAACGAGATAAATAAGAGAGGCCAAGGTTTTGCCAAATTCTGCTTTCTTCCTACAGGGCATTTAGTTAATGTAGTTTTATTGTATATACCTTCTAATTCCATAGTTTTATACACTTTGGATTACACTAAATCTTTGAGTAATAAATGTTCCTTTGATGAACTGTAATTGCTAATGTTGAGTTAAAAAAAATGTAGGCCTCTTTGTTACTGCCAGTTTAAGGTTCTAAAAATAATAAAATTAGCTCTGAAACCTGATCTTGGTATTAGTTTGTGTTAAATTGGCTTCACTATAATGCCCAATTGAGAAGAAAATAAGGACATAGCCTCCCCCATCCATTTTGTGTACTGACTCATCTAACTGCTAAAGCATTTTTTAAAAAGCAGTACACATAAAAACACAATTTTAATAAACATATGAATGATTGGATTTTTTTCTTTATTCCTGGCCTTTTTTCACCTGTAAAAATAACATAATTTAATCAAGACCATTGTAAACATATTCATTTCAGGAAGGGAAAAACATGGCCATTTATTAAGTGTCTTGGAGGGCTAGATTAAGGAGAAATAAGATTAATTTTAGAAGGATATTCTGGTCACCTTTAACAAACTCTATGAGATTTTTCTCTCAAAAAGGTCAGTGGCCAAATGATTTAGGGAAACCCAGTATATTATTCTAGGACAGTCACATTGCATGTTACCTTGTTAAACACTCCAAGAAATTCTAGAGTAAAGGAAAAATAATTGTTTGATTTGGTTTAACTCAGGGTTTGCCAAAGTTTAAACTGTATTCTTGGAGTAGAAATTAACATCACCCAGAACAAAGTGCAGATGACGATCTAAGAATAAACTCAATGGTAATGTTTCTGTACCTGAACTGGTAGATGAAGTCTCTGTTTCTTTTGTAGAGAGAATGTAGTAATCACAAAAATCAAAACAACTTGCCAATCCAAACAATGAATGCTTTCTAGAGATCTCGCTATCTGCCTAGTTTGGTTAATACTCACTGCCAGTAGCAGACGGTCTCTCTCAATTAGATCAGCCAACTTGTACAGTAGGCGTCCCCTCTCTGAAGCATCCATCGTACGCCATGGAGAGCCAATCTGGAAAGCCTGGCGTGCGGCCTTCACTGCCTTGTTAACATCCTCCTGTAAGTCACAGGCAATTCATTTCAGTAGGTGAAACATATTAGCAAATCCAGTGTTAATAACCCTATGAAATAGGCGAAAATCCCTCATAAGCAGCAGTGCGTCTTCATTAGCCCGAAATCTAGTACACTGTATCAACTCAACTGCTATACACTGGAATTACAGGGTAATTCTGCCGAATCTCTAGAACCATGAGTCCCCCACACATAGCACATGCTTGATTTCCTACAATACAAATATTATAATATTTTAATAGTTGCTATTATTTGAGTGCTTGCCATATATCAGGTAAGGTTATAATTACTTTACACATATTAAGTAATTTCATGCTCAACAATGTTATGAAACAAATATGTTCCCCATTTTAAAGATGAAGAAACTGAAGCAAAGAGAGGAGATTTGCCCAAGATAATGGCTGAAAGCGGCAGAACTGAGTTTTAAACAGAGTCAGTCTGACAGTAGTGCTAGCTCTCCACCATTACATTACAGTGCTTGGGTGACTGGGTTACCCAGGGTTCCAGGGAAAGCTCAAGATCTAAAACAGTGAATGTCTCCTTTAATCTCTGGTGACTCTATGGGCTGTGCACTCTCATGAAGCACCTATTGAAGGATGAATAAAAACTTTGTTTTGCTGTTGATGAGTAAACATCAAAAACATGTTGCTCATTCCTCTTGTGCAGAAGGAAGAAGGCATAGAGGTGGGGGAGCTGGTATAGAGAAGGGTGGGTATGTGACAACCTCTCCTTTTCCAGCTGGGTACAAAGAGATCCTTTCTTTTCAACCCCTAACTAGGCATAGAACTCAGTTTCTTCTTGTTAACAAGATGCTGCTTAAAATTAGTGTGCCTCAAGGAAAAGCCAAATAATGAAGTAATTCCTCACTCAGTCTAGCCTCCTTGTCTTCACTCATATTGCCTTCACTCACACTCTTCTATTTGAACTGGGTTTAGTCCTCCTGTTCTTTCCTAGTCCACCTCAGATACATACTTTCCCCTGGCCACTCCATTTCCTACAGATCCCTGTTCAGAACTCTTCTGAGCTCCTACAGAATATACCTACTACAAAAATTACCACCTCTGCCATTACTACTTCATGTGTTTCTTTTTTCTCCCCATCAAATCAGTTCCAAGCACCTTAAAGGCTCAGATTGTTCCTTTTTTTTTCTGTATATAGGACTGGCCACCACATGGAACTACGTGAGCTCCACCATTCATAGCTACAGCTCAGGCTATTAGGTTGCAACTTTTTGCAGGAGACATAATTTTCTTTGAGAATTTGAGAAAAATCATCCAATAATTTTTTTAAGCTATCCACAATTAAACTGAAACCCATTCAAGGATGACACCTCCCTATTGGGAGGCATGGGCCTCAAATTAATATCCCCTGCCTTAGGCTATATTCAATTAATAATTTCCAGATTGACAAGTCTGCAAATTAAAATACAAGCAAATATACTATTTTTACAGTATTTATCACCACACTATGATGATCTGGGATGAGAGGGAAATTTTGGAAGTATAATCTGGTCTGATTATGTGATAATATTTAGACTACCAGTGAACATTCTTTCACTACAATACATCATACAGTTGTATATCTTACTGTCTAACTTGAGAGAATGAGTATATACAATAAAATATATGCATTATTACTTGCTCTTCCTGAGAAACATATATGTAGTCATATTTTGGGCATTCGGTTAATCACATTCATTGTGTATATGTGAAAATAGTTTTATATCATAGATTCTATCCTTTCCCAAGTTATAGTTGGAGAGGACTTCTGGGAAAAATAAAGCAAACCACAAGAATCTGAAATTGCTAGCATGATATGTGGATACCATAGCTTATAAAACATATGCAGTGCTGTGTTTAAACTGGTCTGTGTGACACAGCTTTCATTTGGATCCTTCTGCTCAGTGTTTTATCATCAGCCTTAGCTAAATATGGTTTATCATAGGCATTCTGGCATCTTAAAGGGATATGGAAAAACTGGCTTCAAGACAAGTAACTCTGCCATAGAGAACATACATCCCTGGAGAATGCTGCTATAAATATAGATGTTCTTGTGGTTATGTGCTTTGACGCTCCTACTTTTCTCACATCTTATATTTTTATCATGACTGCACAGAAACAGAGTAATGGTAGTTAATATATACCTTCAGAACAAAACAATCCAGATTTGAATTCTGGTTTCTCATCTATTAGTTATGTAAACTTTGAGGCATCCATCCATCCATCCATCCATCCATCCATCCATCCAAAGATTTGATAAACTATTCTGTAGTATTCTTATCATCAAGCTGCCAATGATAAAATACTGTTGTAACAAGACTGCCCTTTTGAAAATTCCAATAGGATGGACGAGATATACAGTAAAATAATTACACCAATATAGTATTATAAAATATAAAAAATATTCTGAAGTAATATTGTGATGTGACTTCTCTAAGCTTCAGTTTTTTAATCTTTAAAATAGGAATAAGTTACCTACAGAGGTTGTGTTGAAGATTAAATAAGGTAACATTTGGGGCCGGCCGAGTGGCGTGTTGGTTAAGAACTGGCTTGGGACGCCAGAGTTACTACTATAGTTAAACATCGTGGACTTTGTTTTGCAGGACATGAAATCCAGCATGAAATCCACCAACCCAAATTTGATCCCACGGCTGACTCCAAAATCCAGTTTTATAACTCTGCAAGACTATGGCAATAACAGTCTTCTTTGCAGTAAATATGTATTGCTATCTATATTGTAAACTGTAATATTTCTTTTTGTTCTGGGCCTACATTAGATAGGTAGTAAATATTTAATAATTTTGTTACCTATCTTGTAGACTCATGTTACACTGATTTTATACAAGGGTGCTCCTTCGATAAATAATGTACTTATATTGACATTTAAATAATAAATAATATTTTAATTGATTTCATTATATAAGAAAACTTTTATATTAATCAAAACTGTTAGGTATAAAGGTTTCTTTTTAAATTCCAGGACTAGCATGTCCAAGATCATAATTTTTGAAAGAACCAGAACACAGTATGGTACACTAAGTCAGATTCGCTACCATCAATAACACTTATGCTGCATAGGGTTAAAAATGCTCCTTTTTTGAATGGAGGGACCAAAGCCGAATGCATAAAGATAATTCAAAGGATGATGAAATAGCAAATGCTTCATGAGCAAGTAAAGGATGGATTGAACTCTTCTATCTCTCCTAGACTGTGCAATTTCCATATTAAATTCATTCAGATTTGGAGAAAATAGTTATCAGACTAGTTTTACATTTACACCTGTCATAGGCCCTTATTTTAATGGACATTTACTTTTATCCCCAGCAATTATTTGTTTCGTCATGCTTTAGTATTAAAAGCAGTTTTCAGGATTAGTCAATATAGCCTAAAAGAGCCACTGAAGTGAAAAGAAAACAGTTCCCACCCACATCTGTGCTTTGCTTTGTAACCTTCATTTGTTCTCGCCCCTCCTCCTTTCTTTATAATACCATTGAAAGGCGGTATATAGCCCATTGTTAGCGCCATTCTACTCATCAATTACATCCTTAAAACCTCTTGGCTCATTATCTAGAGTCAGTTCCAGAATATTAGGTTTACTATGACTCTGTAATTTACTAGATTTGTACCTTTTGCTAAGCAATATTAGAAGTTATACTTTTTTGTTGGCAAAAGTAAAAACAGCAATAATAATTTTTTTTAAATGTTAGATCATTCAAAAAAAGAATATGATGACAAGATTCCCTGGAGCATTTGAGATGTTGCTCCCTGCATATATCATCAGTTTGGCTCAAATAAACTCTTAAGAAAATTAAAAAAAAAGAATATAATGACAAGAGTGTTGGATGTTAAGAAAACTGTTTATACCATAAGCAACTTAACTTAAGTGATCAATTCTCTAGCCAACTTGATTAGCATTGTGAACTGATTTGAAGCTTTGCTGGATGTTAGTGAGTGTCCTTGATCTACATTGGCCCAGATTTTCTGCTCTTCTATCAGCTGAAGTAATAGTCAATAAACACAGAGCAAATAAATGACAAATACTTCTAAAGCTCAGGAATGATCATCAGCTCACCCTCACTACATCTGAGGAAGAAAGTAAATCCCACCAATGAAGCCAAGAAGAACTCAAATTGCCTGACAAGATTTCTACTGGAACTGTAGGCACATATTTGTTTTACTGATGTAACTCTACCCTGAAGCCAGTGGCAAAGTGAGAGAGCCAAGGCCCCAGGGCTAAAGCATCAAGATTTTTTTTCTTTTGTTATTTGCAAACTGCAAACAGCTCTGCAGCTTCACTCCTGAGGTAGCACTTGTACCTCTGGATAGAAAGAGTAGGCAGCTGTCAGGGGCTCAACTGTGTCCTCACTTTGACCTTGATTGCTTTTCCCACCTCCCCAGGGTTGACAGAGCCACTCAAGCAACTAGACAGACATTTGAAGTAATGTAGTACTGTATAGCTCTCTAGAAGCCTCTGAAAAACTAGCCCTCTTTGTTGATGTGAAAAATACATTTTTCTCTTATTTCTGGGAATGGCTCATAGGACACAAACTTCTGGGTCTCCTAGAGCACGTTGCCAGGGATCGGCAGTGTTTCTCTCCCCGAGTTTGGTCTTATAACATTTCTCATAGGTGCAAAGCGATTATCACAGCAGTTTCCAATCATCAACTTTCTTACCTGTCAATGTCCATGCCCTTTATTAAAGGCTAACACCTAAGAGGAGATCCAATTTACGGTTTAATACTTAGGTCAATGGTTTTCAAAGTGTATTCCCCAACCCTCATTCTAACCTGCAACGTCAGCATCACTTGAGAAATTGTCAGAAATGCAAATTCTCAGGCCCCAATCTAGAATTATTGAACCAAACTCCTGGGCTTGGTGGGGCCCAGCGATCTGTGTTTTAAGATGCCTTTCAGGAAGTTCTAATGCATGCAAAATTTCGAGAATCACTGCCTTAGTCAATAGTCAATTTAGTACTAGATTCCTAAGGTGAGGTGTGTGGGGTATATGGAAACTCAGAGCATGATGGAGAAAATTATTTTGTTTATCCATTATCTATAATGTGTTAGATACTTGTAGTGTTGATCTCTACAAGAAGCATACTGTGTCAGACAAATTAACCACAAAGCTATATAACACACGGGTTATCACATAGGCAGATACAAGGTTCTGTGAGGACACAAAAGGAGCAACTGTAACTGGGAAGGAGAGAGAAGGCTTTAAAGAAGTGATTGAAGCTTTGTTATGTGGCTGGCACTGTTAAAACACTTTACATAGTTTCTTATGTAACCTTCCCCATGTTTTTTCGAGCTGCCCATTTTATGAAAAAAGGAACAGCTCAAAGAAGGTAAATACAAATGTGGAACTTCTGTTTGTAAGGTACTGTTCGCCCTGAAGGCCAGCTCAGCCATGCAATAACAGGCGTACGCCCCGCATCCTGCTTGGTGTGAAACCCAGCGGGAAATACATCATCCATATCCTGCTTGGCACAACTAGAAATTTTCTGTTGCCATTGCCCCCAGCTGTTGCCACCACCAGCTGTTGCCACCGGTTACTTACTCCGCCCTATAAGAACTAGACCCTTCCCTTAGTCGGGGCTGATGCCTCTCATGGCCTCAGCCCCAGCAGGTTAATAAACTTGCTTGCTTGAATATCGGTGTCTCTCACCCCCTTTCTCCTCAGCGAACCTTTCACTGTTGTCTTATTGAAGATGATGATTTAAACTAGGTCCTGAGGACCTAGTGATTGCTAGGAACATGTGATTTCTACGCAGTGGCACAGAGGCAGTGACCTGCAGGCGATATTTCAGGGTGTGATACTAAACACAGTGAAGTTGGGACTCTAACGTTGATGAGGTGGCCTGGGATGGAGGCCAGAAACAAGGGTGTTTCCCAGAGGCAGCGAAAAGCCCTTGAAGCCATCGATGATGAAATCTGATACAGAAAGTGAAATCTGAAAGCAGGTGATGTGTCTCCATTCCATTCTGCTTCTACGTCTTAAATTGTTGACCCCTCTGGCTAAATTCTGCATTCTCACCCCTCAGGGCATGGGTCTTCTTTCTTCTGATAATACAGCAACCTGAATTCAGGGCCTTCCTTAAACCTCAAAGAGCCCTCGGGTCTCTCACTATCTTGGAATAGGTCTGCAAGTTTAATACCCTGAGATTAGGGATCTCACACTGACTGATGAGAAGGCAATGAAAGAATGGAGACTGGACAGGAACATGTGATTGCTACAATGAACTATACATAGTGTCACAAATGGTATTAGCCATGGGTTTTTCTGACTTCATCTCCCAGTAGGCTGTTGATGCAGCAAAAAAAATCTTTACCTCTTTCTCTCTTATACGACAGAGATTTAAAGCTTGATAATGTCTGGACAACTAAAGACCAGAATCATTTTCCATTAGACTGTGAAACATATGTACCTTTTAAGGTGTGTGTTCAAATAAAAATTCTGAAAGCTTTTACTCTTCTCATTTCCCAGGCTATTAAATATTACCCCATCTAACTTTAATAATAATTACAAGGTAAGGCAGTAGTCCTGCCAGTCACAGGCTCTGGAGTCAAAGGACAGCATTTGAACGCTGATTTCATTGTTTATTAGCAATGTCACCTTGAATAAAGTACTCAACCTTTCTATTTTGCTATTATATCATCATTTGTAAAAACAGGCAAAAATAATGCCTCCCCAGGTTGTTTTAAGTATTAAATTAAAACAACATTTAGAATTAAAAACAAATCACTAAATAAAAGTTGGTTTTGTTGCTGTTGGTATTGTGAGTTAGGGAACAACAACACTTTTAATTTGTGATTCAATTTGATTCATTTTTAAATTCCATTTTTAAAGAGACCCATTAACATTAATTCAATGATTTTTAAAGGAATAAGTTGGTGTTATATTATTCTAAAAGTCATATATTAAAGTTTTCTTTTAGTTTCACTTTGCAACTTAAGAAGAACAATTTTATATGAATAAAATATTGCTCTACTTTAAAAATCTATGATCAATAATTTCGTATGTAGTCTGCTGGTACAAGAAATCTAGACACAATTTCAATTAAAAAACCAAGCAAGAAAAAAATAATATAGAAAAATCACCACCAGACCCAGAAGCATAGTCTCATCATTATATGACCACTGAGTACCCTTTATGTACCAAGAAATTTTTCCCAGTTGGCCCCAGAAACCATATTTTCATGACATGTCTACTTGGATCTGGAATGGGGTTTGGGAGGTCAGAAGGCTGAGAAACAAGGACACCTGGCATGAAATGGAACTAGTGCTCACCTTGTCTCCTTCTTCCACCTCACAGAGTATCTCCTCAGTTGCAGGATTAAAGATAGGAAATTTCTTGCCACTCACGGAATTATGCCATTCATTGTTTATGAAGATCTATAGAAAGGGAGAGAAAGTAGGTAAAAATGGCATTTAAATATGCAGCAATTTTGGGAATTGTTTTTTTTTTTATATAAGCTTACTAAAGCATTACAGAATGCCTAAGTGAAGCCATTGTTACAACCCTATGTCCCTCACGTATCCACCTGCCCAACACACACAAAATTTTTTTTGGTTGTTTAAAACACATTTTACACACACATGCATGTGTGAACACACACACACACACACACTAAAATAAATAATACTTTTGAATTGCATTAAGGTACAAGGTCATTTCGACACTGGAAAATATAGTTTAGAGAAAACAATCTACAATAGAAAAGATGCTTTTATCTGAAATAACTGTGAATTTTAGGTAAAAGCAGAGGCTTTGGTGGGCTTGATCTTCATGAAACATTGTCTCTAATTTCCACTTCAGATCCTGAACGTGATCATTTTGGGCTAC